GAGACAGCTGCTCTCTGTACCCGCGGACTATCAATGCTGGCGGGCTCGGCCACGCTGCAGCAAAGGAAGCTGACAGGAGGGAGCGCTCAGCGTTTCCCTCCTGTCAACCCCCTTTCTCAGGCTGCGCCCGGGCGGTGCGGTCCGCCCTCATGGACGCACCGCCCGGGCAATGCTGCAGCCGCCTGAGGCTCTGTACAGAGCGCTCGGGCGGCTGCAGCATGGGGGGGGCGGGGGGCTGGCCATGGCACCCCCCACCCGGCTGGCACCCGGGGCGGACCGCCCCCCCGCTCCCCCCTTAGTACGCCACTGCTCATCTGTACCATAGGAATAAATAGATACCACTGTGTGGGGCAAGCAACTAGTAACTTGGTTAATAATCATTTAACCTCAGCATTCTCCCAGACCACAACCCCACTTCTTTGGGGGTGGTTGGGGCACTGAAATCCCAAAGTAACCCAAATGTGGTTGCCCAGTTTTAGGTTTCCTTTGCAGTAACTGCAGGACCACCATCCAAATGGATGGTCCTGGGATTATCAAATGCATACTAAGGAAGTGAGACTAGAAAACGTGGCATCAGAGGTTGCACTTCGCACAGGATATATCCAAGTAAACCTGGTACATGCATCAACACATACAAAAACAGATTTATAACCATGAGATGTTGGCAAACCTCCAATATATAGTAATCCAAAAAGTACGTTAGATGTTAATATTTCAATAAACAGTACATCAGTAATGTGGCAATAAGCAAATGCTTATGATTACTAAACACATGAATTACAGTATTTCCCATATTGTGACCACCAATATTCCTTTTCAGGAGTCAGAAGTACATTACCTCTCTCTATAAGAACTTGTCCTAGCCATGAAAAAGCTTTAAGGGCAAGTCTATCTTTCCTCTATAGGAAGAACAACCAACATGTTACCTTCAATGGTTATGTAATTAACCCCTCTAAACGATAGGAGTATTTATGCGGATACCAGGTGGATAAGGTCTGGATATCCTTGCAAGCATAAACTCTGCATCATGACAGAGAGATAGGGTATGCGATGTGATCCAGTGACCACAGAAAAGCGTTGGTAGACACATTGAATCAAAGTGCCTGTTACAGACCAACTACATGAGGAGAGGGCCCATGCTTTGTTATAAGCATGTCCATACACATATTACAATGCCAGGCTTTCAATTTGTTTCCACAAAGCAAAATGCAGTTGTGGATATAAACTCACGACGTATCGTAAGAAAAACTGTTTAAACACCAGACTGAGACTCGAGATCAGTGAACAGTGGACCAAAATAGATAAATGAAATCTTATCAATTAATATACTTTCTTTAAATTACTTTATCCTCTGTATTAACTATGATATATTAAAGTTAAAACAATAACATTTAAAAGCCAACTTTTAGTGTGCATAGGAATTACAAGGCCGTTCATAATGTGAGATAAAGAACAGCTTTTTTAAAATCCGAATAGTCTGTGAACACAAGATGACCTTGCGCAGAAAACTGACTTGCAGGGGAAAAACAAAACCTTCTTTTTTTCCTTTTCTTTAGTAAATTAATTAATTAAACGTAGTTAGAACCTCCCTCAAAGTCCCGATGACTTTGCAAGAAACATGTCGTCCTTAAATACTGGGTAAGTCTATTAAACAGTGAAATAGCATTTTTACACTGTATATCATGTTGTCACAGCTATAATGTGCAGTATAATAAACTATTTATAAGTGTTGTGCAAACTGTTCATTAAAAGCCAGTGGTCTAGTGAGCTATAGAACATTTATTTATTTATTCTTTAAAGCTCTGACATCAATCGGCAAAGCAATATTGTAATGGTGTCCATTGCAATCTGCTGTCTATGCTTGCTGCTCTCAAAAATTCTGAATATGTTCAGAGATTTCTTGGGCAATAATAAATCCCCAAAAACAACAACTTTGCATTTATGCTAAACCTGCCTGTTGTAAACGTATTCTGTATATTTCTTGTCATAAGTACTTGTACTTAAATCTGTTTAACAAAGCTGTTTATATTGTGGTGTAAAATATATTTGTTATTATTATAATTTTTTTATTTTTTTTTATTTTTTTACTTTGCTTAATTTTTAAAGATACCTGCATATTTAATTAAATTATGTCTAAATATTTAATTATGTCTTTAAGGCATAAAATATCTGCAAATTAAGATTATTTACAAAAATGCATGTCCTGGGTGTTCCCGTGATTCCTTTTCTATCATTTATTTATTTAAAAAAAATTTAAGTCTGGAATCTGATTTCTTTTGGGATGAGCACCCCTCTGAGCCCCCCAATTTCAGAGGTTCTTTGGAGGTGACCACAGAAAAGTATAGATTCTATAAAATAGATGTGAGGGGGCTTTGGACAGTAATGTCACTTTAATTATATTTTTCATATAGCAGATATGTGATATGCAATGTGATTTAATATATCAGAGTATCATCACTTTAATAGACACTGCATTTTTTTTATGCATTATTCTTTATGCATTATTTTTCTTTTTTTTTTTTTCTAATGTCTGTTTAGAATATTGCAGGCTTTGCAATATCAAATTAATTTTGCATTATACATATTCACAATGCTATTACAACATATTATTAAAATTAGCCTCTTTCAGAATTGTAGAATATGTGGTGGAACTGAATCCTCATATATGAGATTTGAAACTGTATTTTTGATTTCTACTCTGTGCCCTAATCTGTATTTATATACATAATTGCAGCAGCATATAGCTTTTAAGGAAGCAATCATTTCACTCATCATGTGTGGTTGACTGTGGACTTTTTAAAACCTACTTTTTATTTTTTTAAATCTGTTTCTGGCTTTGAGAGAGCAGGCTGCTGAATGCATGTAAATGCTCTTAATGCTTAGTCTCTATACATTTATTTATAAAAAAAAACATTAATATATTGATATATAAACAACTTTGATATTTAATCTTATTTTGTTATTTTATGAAAACCTAGTTTATGAAATTCACTGAGATTACATGTGTCTGATCTGATTACAGTCAGTAGTACAATATAATTGTTCTAATTTCCTTACTGCTAGTATGGTGGGATAGTACCACTGATTTAAGTAAGCTTTCCCTTTTAAAATTGGTGGACTTTACTGCCATTGCAATAGACTAAAGACTGTACCTGAGTAAGCAAAGTCATTATGTGCAGGAATTGGGCACTTTAAATAGTAGAATACTTATGCTATTCTAGTGAATTGGGCTGTCTGCTTAACACATAATTTAGTATCTTTTGGTCACATTTAAAGCTGTAAATGTATTTAACATTTTATTTAAATAAGCCTTTAATAATTTCAGTTTAAAAGTTATCAGAGATCCTGTATAGTTACCATTTTATTTTGCCCTGATTTATCTTACATATATATTATTATTTTTTTTTATCCAATCAATTTTTATTGAGATAATAAAGTACGTGGGAAACAGAGGGAAAGAAGGATAACAATCAAGGTTTTACATTTCAGATATAGCCATATATCCAACCTCCCATATCAATGCTCTCGTCAATTACCTTGGGTAGAAAACAATAGTAACAAGCAACTTTTAGTGAACTGTGTCAAGCCCTCCATGAGCGCCTTCGGGAAATGAGGCATTTAGTTTTGGGCTGTCAACCTGGTAGAACGCTCTTCTTGTCTCTTGGTTTCTCATGTGTGTGCAAGAGTGTATGCTATGTACATAGTTGGAGTGTGTTGATCAGTGCAAGTCAGGGTTCAGTTCGGTGTCTTGGTGGGGATTCTCTCTGGTTCGTCCGGTTAGGGGGGTGACCTCTAGTTAAGGGGCCGAGCTGGTGGACAGTCGTGGGAAGCCGCTGGTGTACTGGTGCTGGGTGGGGCGTGTCAACTCCCTGTCCGTCGCGTCCAGTTTGCTATGGTTGCATGCTCGTCGAGTTGGTCAGGGTACTCAGTGTGGGATGTCCGCCTGTCCCCCCCGTTGGACCTGACTGTATTCCCCACCCAGGGTTTGGCTCCAGGAGCTGTCCACCTCCAAAGTGTCCCCCCCCTCCCAGGCCCCACCCCCGACCACCTGTCCGGGCCATGGGTTCCCCCTATCCCCTGACCATCACAGTCCTGCCAATGACCTCCTGACTGGGGGGAAAGAGAAAGGTGTGCAGTGGGAAAGGAAGAGAGAAGAGAGGAAGAGGGGGGGGGGGAGGGTAGGCTGGTAGGCGGACTCCTGTATCTCATATGATCACTGGAGGGGCGGATCTAGAGCTTCCCTGGTTCTCCGCTACCCAGTGGCAGCCGTTCCTGCGGTTCCTCTCTGGGCTATGTAGGTGCACCAAGGGAGCCAGGTGATAGCACATTTGTCTCCCGTGCCGTGTAGCGATGCCGAGAGGGATTCCATACTGTAGATGTCCTCCACACGTTCCATCCATTGCTCCATCGACGGTGACTCCGTCGCGCGCCATTTGGTGGGGATGAGGGATTTTGCCGCATTTAGTAGGTGTTTGGTCAGGGAGCGTTTGTATGTAGCTATAGGGCGTGTGGTGTGGTGGAGTAGCATCGGCAAGGGCTGGAACGGTAGGTCCGGGTCCGCGATGCTTTGAATTTTAGAATGAATTTGTTTCCAGTACTGCTGAATTGTAGGGCACGACCACCATATATGGTAGTCTGACCCACCCTTGGCTCCGCACCTCCAGCAAACGTCAGGGGTTTCTCGGTTCATGCAATGTAGTTTCGCTGGGGTTCTATACCAGTTGACCATAATCTTGTAGTTAAGTTCCTGCAGTTTTGAACTGAGCGTGCCTTGGTGTGTTAGCACGTGGATCTTCTCCCATTGTTGGTCCGTCAGTGTTTGGTCTGTCACTTGTTCCCAGCGGGACATATATCGTGGTGGTGCGCGTGGTGTGGCGGTAAGCAGTAGGGTGTAGAGTCGTGTGATTCCTTTCAGTGGTCGATCCCTGGCCGCACACATGTGCTCAAAAGCGGTTAGGTCTCTATGAAATAAATGTTTGCCCACCGTGGTTCGGTAGAAATGCTGAATCTGATGATGGCGGAACCTGGTCATTAGAGAGATGGTGCCGTCTGGGATCAGTTCCCTCAGTGTTTTCAGTCCCGTTGCGGCGCATAGCTGTTTCATGTACGTCCAGTCCGGGTCCCCGAGTCCCAACACATCCCCCGGTCGTAGTCCGTCAGCGATATCTGGGTTATGGGTAATAGAGGTCAGAGGACCCGGCGTTGTAGTGAGGCCGTCCTTCAGGCGAGTGGCAGTCCAAACCTGCGTCGTGGCCCTGATAAACGGGTTGTGGGTCATTCTAGGGTCCTTTAGGGGGTCCGCTGTCCATATCGCGGCTGGCAGCCTTCGATCCACTTGTACGTTCTCTAGTTCCCTCCATAGCTTGTCTGAGTTTAGTGTGTGCCAGTCCACCAGCCGAAGCAGGTGGGTGGCCCTGTAGTAATGGACTAGTGAAGGGAGGGCTAAGCCCCCCATCCTCTTGGGCAGCGACAGGAGCGCCCCATTAACCCTAGGTCGTCCCGTCTTCCACACAAATTTTATCATCGCCGTATTCAGCGTCTGAAAGAAGGTCCTGGGTATCATAATTGGAACGGTCTGGAAGAGGTAAAGAAGCCGCGGAAGAAGGTTTAGTTTTAAGGCATTGATTCTCCCGAACCATGAAATGCACAGGCCGCCCCAAGTCGTCATGTCGTGCTGTAGTGTGCGGAGAATGGGGACAAAATTCTCCTGGAATAGGCGCTTCGTGTCTCCGGTGAGCCATATGCCAAGGTATTTGAGTTTATCCGCACACCACTTAAATGGGTACTGTGTCCGTAGGTGAGTCGTGTCTGCGGTAGTTAGGTTTAAAGGGCAGGCTTCCGACTTCTCAGCATTGAGTTTAAGGTTGGAGAGCAGGCCGTACTCCCGGAACCTTGCTAGTAGGTTCGGGAGAGAGATGAGTGGGTTGGCCAGAAAGAAGAGGAGATCATCTGCGTATGCCGCGACTCTCTGCTCCAGACCTTTATAGGCGAAGCCCGCGATTCCCCCATCCCGTCTGACCGCCCCCAGGAATGGTTCCAGGGAGAGGGCAAACAGGAGGGGGGACAGCGGGCACCCCTGTCTTGTGCCGTTACGGATGTTGAATGGCTGTGTTAGGGCCCCATTGATGCGCATACGGGCTGTTTGTGTTGTATAAAGGGCAGCTATCCAGGTCATCATATGGGGCCCGAATCCCATCGTACGGAGCGTTGCCAGCATGAACCCCCAGTCCACCCGATCGAACGCCTTCTCGGCGTCGGTCGAGAGGAGGAGGACCCCCCTCCGGCTGCTCCCCGCCAGGTGGATCACGTTGAGGGCCCTGATGGTGTTGTCGCGTGCCTCCCTGCCTGGGATGAATCCCACTTGATCCGGGTGCACCAGGTCCGGCAGTACGCGCCCCACCCGTAAGGCCAGTATTTTAGTGAACAGTTTCAAGTCAGAGTTGAGTAAGGAGATCGGCCTATAACTAGAACAGTTCGTCAGGTCCTTTCCGTCTTTTGGGATAAGAGAGATAGTGGCAGCCAGTGTATCTCTCGGGAGGTGGCCGCCTTCTAGTAGGTGATTCAGGGTTCCCAGGAGGTGTGGCAGCAGGATGTCTTGAAACTTTTTATAATATGCCGCGGGGAGGCCGTCAGGGCCTGGCGCCCTGTGGGCTCTGGCGATCTTAAGAGCATATTTGAGTTCCTCCAGGGAAATGGGTTCCTCCATGTCAGCCCTTTGGTCGTCCGTGAGAGTCCGTGAGATATGTTGTTCCAGGTAGTGCGCGATATCGGTTTCACGCCTCTTCCGGGCTGCTGCACCTCGCGTTTCTGGGATGTTATATAAGTCCGTGTAGAAGTGGTGGAAGGCCGTCGCTATTCCGTCTGGGCGTTGAGTGAGCACGCCAGTCTGGTCCCGAATCTTGGTTATGTGTGTGAGTCTCCGTTCCCTTTGCAGGCGCCTGGCCAGGAGCCTCCCGCATTTGTCCGAGTATTCATAGAAGTGTCGTCGGGATCTGCGAATGGTTCGGAGAAGGCCCTGCGAGAGCAATTGCTTGAGGTTTCTCCGCGCCTCCAGGAGTTCTCTGTAGGTATCCTCTGAGAGGGTAGATTTATGTAAAGTTTCGAGGGTTGCCACTTGTTGTGCCAGGTCCGTGACTGCTTGCCTTTGGGCCGTCTTCCGTTGGGTACAATAACGTATGAGATGGCCACGGATCATACATTTATGAGCCTCCCATATCATCGGTGGTTCCACGTCTGGGGTGGTGTTCTCCTCAAAGTACTTCTGCAGTGCGTCACCCATCTCCACTGTCGCCTCCAATTCCTCCAAGACCTGCTCGTTGAGCCGCCACTGCCTCTCCCGTGGCCTGTACAGCGGGGAGGCGATCTTAGTCCAGACCGGAGCATGGTCCGACCAGGTTGCCGTGTGGATCCCACTGGAGTGCAAGAGCGAGAGGCATTCAATGGGGAGGAAGATATAGTCCAACCGACTGTAGCGACTGTGGACCGTAGAGTAGTAGGAGTAGTCCCTCCTCTGTGGGTGAACCACTCGCCACGAATCCGCCAACCCCGCGTTCTTGAGGGCCACCAGGGCCTTGCGTTGGTAGGAAGCCGGTAGTGAGCTAGTTCCTAAGGAGGTGTCTAGCCGTGGGTCCAGGGCTAGGTTAAGATCCCCCGCCAGGATCAGCAGGCCCTCTCTGAAGCGGTCCAGGGCATGTAAGGTGCGTGTCAGGAAGTGGTGCTGTGCCGTATTGGGTGCATAGACACATGCCAGGGTATACAGATGTCCGGCAATCGTGCCTTTCACGAATATATAGCGGCCTTCTGGGTCCGCCAGCTCAGCTTGGCTTTGGAAAGGCACTGTGCGGGCGATGAGAATTGCCACCCCCGACTTTTTGGCATGTGGGTGGTTGGCAAAGTATCCCGTCGGGAAGCGGGTGTCTCGCAGCGTCGGTGCATTTCGCCCCTGGAAGTGAGTTTCCTGGACGAATGCCAGAGACGCGCGTGCCGCCCACAGGGTGCGGAGAAGGTGTGAGCGCCGTTCCGGAGCGTTAAGGCCCCTAACGTTGTTCGACCACAAGCAGAGATCCGCCTGCTGAAAGTGACCTGCCATCGTCCTTGGATATGGGGCGTGGGGGGGAGGTTAAACCGGTAGCTGTAAGGAGGAGCGTAGAGGGAAAGGGTGAAGAACGTAGTAGAGAAAGAGAGGGAGTAAAAGAAAGAGAGAGGGGTGGGGTCTGAGAGGGAGGGCCAGTCAGGAGTCAGGTGCCGTATTGGGTGCATAGACACATGCCAGGGTATACAGATGTCCGGCAATCGTGCCTTTCACGAATATATAGCGGCCTTCTGGGTCCGCCAGCTCAGCTTGGCTTTGGAAAGGCACTGTGCGGGCGATGAGAATTGCCACCCCCGACTTTTTGGCATGTGGGTGGTTGGCAAAGTATCCCGTCGGGAAGCGGGTGTCTCGCAGCGTCGGTGCATTTCGCCCCTGGAAGTGAGTTTCCTGGACGAATGCCAGAGACGCGCGTGCCGCCCACAGGGTGCGGAGAAGGTGTGAGCGCCGTTCCGGGGCGTTAAGGCCCCTAACGTTGTTCGACCACAAGCAGAGATCCGCCTGCTGAAAGTGACCTGCCATCGTCCTTGGATATGGGGCGTGGGGGGGAGGTTAAACCGGTAGCTGTAAGGAGGAGCGTAGAGGGAAAGGGTGAAGAACGTAGTAGAGAAAGAGAGGGAGTAAAAAGAAAGAGAGAGGGGTGGGGTCTGAGAGGGAGGGCCAGTCAGGAGTCAGGTCCCGGTGTAGGTCAGGTCCCGCAACCAGGAGTCAGCCCCAGGTCCCCTGTCTCACCCACCCCCGTCCCCGCACCTCGTCCTAGGTGTGTGGTGCCGGTCTTGGCTCGACGCACTTGGTGTGTACCTGGGGGGTCGGTCCAACTGTCGACAGTCGTCCCCAGGTCGCACCGTAGGAGTCTGTACAGGTGTGCGTCTGCCCGTGGGGCGTGTCTGTAGTCAAGGGTTCGTTATCTTGTCGTGTGTGTTACTGTGGTATCCTCAGCCGTCCATGGCCGTCACCGCCCTACCAGGAAGTGTAATCCCCGTAACCGAATACTGTGAAGGTGCGGGCAATATGTCAGACTAATTGTGTGAGAGCCTTGTGGATAGGTCTATGACCCAGGAGGGACCCAATATCTGCATCGTAAGCACACCCCGTGCCCCCTCCAACTCTTATATGATCCCCTTCCGGGCTTACCATGCGGGCCAGTGCCCCCCACCCACCCCCCAAGACCCACAGGCCCCCCCCAACCCCCACCCCCCCAGCGGCACCGGACACTCTCCCAAGGTCACAGTCCTCAGCTCCAGTCCAAAGCATAGTGTCCCATGCAGCAAGCCGCTCCCACCCCACCCCCCCCGCCCCCACCAAGAGCGAGTCCCACGGTCCACCCCCCCCCCCAAACCCCCAACATCTCAGTCCAATGGTGCCTCCAGGCCAGTGCCCCCCGGTGGAGCCAGAGAGGGGGGGAGGACACGAGGGGGGGGGAGAGGGAGGGAGAAGGGCGAGGGAAGGGGGGGGAGGAGAGGGAAGACGGGGAAGGGTGAGGGAAGGGGGGGAGAAGAGGGAAGAGGGGGGGAGGGGGAAGGCCCACCAACCGCTACAGTTCATGCAGAGGGGCCACGGGGCGCCCGCCCCAACGCAGGGTCAAGGTTCCACATCACTCCTCTGCCCCCGCTGGTCCTCCCCAGCGGCGCGGCGGTGACATCTGGCCCAAGTGGGTTGCAGAGGGCTGCAGGCCCGTGTCCTCTCCCCTTCGAGGGCCCAGCGGTTCATCCAGCAGCCAGTTGCGAATCCGGATAGGGGGAAGGTGAAGTGCCCGAGCGAATCTCGGGGCATCATCTGGCATCCTGAGTGTGTGCCAGGAGGATCCCTGTCAGGCTTGGAGGCTGAAGGGGAACCCCCACTTGTAGGGGATCCCCTTGTCACGCAGGGCTGCTGTGATAGGCCGCAGCGCCCTCCTGGCGTCCAGTGTGAGGCCGGAGAGATCCTGGAAGAGCGCCAGATCAGCTCCCCTGAAGGTGACTGTCGGTAGGTTCCTGGCTGCCGCCATGATCTGCTCCTTCTGCGGGAAGGAGTGAAGACAGCACACCACATCTCTGGGTCTGCCGTCCGGCCTAGCTTGTCCCAAGGCGCGGTGGGCCCGGTCGATGCGGATGATGGGCGGCGCGTCAGGACCTAAGAGCTGGTAGAAGAGCTGTTGCAGGGTGGTCGCCAGGGGTTCTGTATCAGGCTCCGGCAGGCCCCTGATCCGGACATTGTGCCTCCGGCTGCGGTTCTCCAGGTCCTCCACCTGGCGTCTGAGGCTCAGCAGCATATTACCCTGTCTGGTGGCCGCTGTCTCTGCTGCTCGGTGTTGATTGGCAGCAGATCCGTGCTTCTGCCTCCACTGTGTCCACCCGCTCCGTGAGGGCCATGAGGTCTGTGCGGAGGCCCCGCAGATCCTCCCGGACCGCCTCCCTTATCTCCCGAACCAGGGCCCCCGTGTCTGCTTTGGTGAGCATGCTGCTCCCTATCCTCGTGAGCTCAGCCCTGATGGAATGAAGGGCATCGTCGGGGCTGAAGTCGGGCATGGAGTCCCCCCCGCTGGTTGCACTGGGGGAGACAGCCGCCATATTGTCAGAGGGCGCCGTGCCCCGGAGCCCGGCCGGGGTGCTGAGGAAGTCATCCAGGGTGCCCGTACCGCGTCTCGGTGACCCCGGGGGCATGCTCCCAGCGCCGGTATGCTTCTTGGTCCGCACCATCGCTAGCTATACGGGGGTAGAATGCTGATTATGGCGGTTTGGGCCTAGGAGCTCGGCTAGTGTGCGACTGGCGCCATCAACGTCCAGGCCACGCCCCCCCTACATATATATTATTTTTAATTATTTTATAAATATTTATTTTTGCAGAGCATTTAGAGAAGCAAAGGATGTATAACCACCTGTTGCCCTTTTTTATAGGAGGGTAGTATAATTTCAACTCTGTTTAGGAAAAAATATGAGCTAGTTAGCATATATTATATAAAATACATGCTGCAGTGTACTGCATTGTACTGCACTGAATTTATTTAAAAGCCATGTCTTTCTCTTTATGGCTGTATGTAATAATGTTGTTAATAATTTGGAATATAAAACGAAGACTTCTCAATTCCTTGGAATGTTTACATGTCTCTATCTCCGCAACCTTGGCTGGAAATTCCAGACTCCAAAAATAGTTATGCTGTTATAATTCCTGATTTTTAATCAACAGCTAGCGTAACTGACAATATGGAAAATATCACTGTTTTATAAAACTTTTCTTATATAGTAGACATTAGAATCCAGAACGCAGTAATGCAATAATTAAAAATCCTGTCTGCAAACTCTCAGCCATTCTACATGACACGACAAAACACTTCCACAAAATCTGGGACCCTTGGGTTATGAGACACATTGTGGGAGTGTAAGACGGGGTCGGGGACGTCCGGCCGCTCTGTAACTTCCCTCCATCCCCCCCACTCTCCCCCCTCTCCCCTGTAGGCGCGATGCCTTATCCCCATACACAAACTACCCATAATACACCCACGATAGACTATACACACAATAACACCGCGAACCCAAAACCACACGACACGACAACCACCCCTGACCACTGGAACAAGCCGCAGCTAACATCGCAAACGCAACTCAGACGCACCCAAGACGATGCAACTGACAACAGAGACCAAACGAAACACACTCAAGCAAACAACAATACGGTCCTGACATCTAACGGAGAACACACACCCAACACTCAGACTATAGTACAAAGAAAGGCTTGTGACACTCTCTATGGGGTGACACTCTAGCAGCAGGCAACCTTACTGCAGGCCTATAGCATGTAAAAACCACCGAATCAGAAACCAAACGAGAAACTACACTGCTCAAACGCTCACAAATCTGCACCAAACCCTGAAGGCTGACATAACCTCAAAACCAGAACTACCGCCCGAACAGCGACCTTCGCTGTGAGGGTGTAAACTCAATTGTATATACTATGAGTGCGGCAGCATCTCCTAGGTTGAGTCCCCTACAAGCGGCTCCACTATTTAACAACCTCTACTACACATTGGAACACTATAGTGGTTATGGTCAAACACAATTAATGAGCTACATCATAACTAGCTGCAAGACAAGACTACTTCTCCACTACCCAACACACCGTCAAAATATATATGTTTAGCCCGAACAGGCACCTTATTATACTGCTTTTACCATACACTGTACCATTACTCTATGTGCCATGTTACAGTATTACCATGTGATCGATAAGCCAGCTTGTAATTGCTGTTGTGGCATTGCAAGCATGTTTGATATACTATGCATAACAAAAATAAAGAATTACAAAAAAAAAAAAAAAAAAAAATCCTGTCTGTCTGTTGCATGAATGTTTTCATTAAGCCATAATGCAATTTTCTTTGCATTCTTGGAATTAGACTTCAAATTTCATAGCTCTGTCTTATCACTTTTCTTTTGACAACATTTTGCATTAATCTTTTTCCTGCGCATGCATACTAAGCAGCTACAAAGAGAACATATCCCCCTGTCTGCAATCCACTGTCCTGGAACTAACGGGCCATGCTGTGCTGGTGTATTAGGCATATCAGGGAGTTTACCAAATATGTATATTTGTTCTATTATGATATTAGTTAAGATCCACAATTTCAGCATTTTATGCTAATTACGCTGTACCTGGCACCTGAACTCACAGTGCCTTGTTCACATTAAAATCATCTCTAATGATCTCTCTCTGAGTCTGGGCTACAAATTGCTCAATAGATTCTTGATATTTCAAGAAGTGTGCCATGACAAAGTATTGTGTCTTCTCTTACGTATAAGAGGTTACCTAGGTATTTATTTTATATTTAAAGCTTCCAAGTACAAAGTCCCTTCGTGGTCGCCATTTGTAACCGCTGGTGGTTCCCTTATTTACCACTATAATGTCTTAACCCCTTAAATCCGGAGGACGTACAATTACGCCCTCTAATAGGCGGCTCTAAACGCCGCCGGGCGTAATTGTACGCCCTCCGTTTTTTGTTAACTTACCCGGTCGCCGGCGGTCCCACGCCGGCGATCGCGGTGGGGGGGACTCCCAGGGAGCCCCCCCGCGGCAGATCCTTCTCCTCCGGTGCTCCCCGGCCATGTGAGAGTGGGGTCCTAGCGAGGACCCCACAATCACATGGTCGGGTAGGCTGCCTCCTGCATTGCCAGCAGGGGGGCTGCCTGTAATGACAGGTGGTCCCCCTGCTGGCTGAAAATAAAATTAAAATTACATTTATTGGTGTAAAAAAAAAATAATATATACTTAGATCATATGTATATATTATATATATATGATCTAAATATATATATACACATATACATACACACGACATATGCCTAGGTGGTTTACTATATATATAATTATATATATATATATTAATATCAAATTACACGTAGACTGATACTGATTAAATATATATATAATTATTGTATATATATATTTATATATAATATAAAAAAAATAAAAATGTAAATACGTTAAAAAATAAAATTAAAAAAATAATTAAAAATAAATAATTAAAAATATATAGATGTGTGTTATTTCGTTCTAACTGTATTGTGAAATTAATATATATATATATATATCAAAATACACGTAGAACGAAATAATATATATATCTATATACATAAATATATACGTATATATCACTATATATATACCTATATATAAATAAAAATATTTAAAAAAAATTATATAGATATATACATATATATACACATACGTATATATATACATATATTAATTCTACATATATATTTATGTAATATTTTTACATAATTAGGTATCTTAATTAATTACAATTAGCAGGACCTGCCTGACAACCCATGCCGAAAGTAAAGGGAATTTAATTTGCTAGCACTATATTTAACCCTATAACTTTCCGAGACACCATAAAACCTGTACATGGGGGGTACTGTTCTACTCGGGAGACTTCGCTGAACACAAATATTAGTGTTTCAAAACAGTAAAATGTATTACAACGATGATATCGCCAGTAAAAGTGAAGTTTTTTGCATTTTTCACGCACAAACAGCATTACACGGACAATATTATTGCTGTGATACTTTTACTGTTTTGAAACACAAATATTTGTGTTCAGCGAAGTCTCCCGAGTACAACAGTACCCCTCATGTACAGGTTTTATGGTGTTTTCAAAAGTTACAGCGTCAAATATAAGGCTTGTGTTTCATTTTTTTCACATTAAAATTCGCCAGATTGGTTAATGTTGCCTTTGAGACCCTATGGTAGCCCAAGAATGAAAAATTACCCCTATGATGGCATACCATTTGCAATAGTAGACAACCCAAGGTATTGCAAACAGGGTATGTCCAGTCTTTTTTAGTAGCCACTTAGTCACAAACACTGGCCAAAATTGAGTTTTTGCATTTTTCAGCACACAAACAAATACTAACGCTAACTTTGGCCAGTGTTTGAGACCAAATGGCTACTAAAAAAGACTGGACATACCCCATTTGCAATACCTTGGGTTGTCTACTATTGCAAATGGTATGCCATTGTGGGTGTAAATTTCATTCCTGGGCTACTATAAAGTCCCAAAGGCAACGTAACCAATCTGGCGAATTTCAATTTAAAATGTAACGTGCTATATTTGACCCTGTAACTTCCCAAAACGCCATAAAACCTGTACATAGGGGGTACTGTCTTACACGTGAGACTTTACTGAATATAAATATGTGTATTTTATTGCAGTAAAAGCAAACAGTATTATGACATTGACCGTTAAAATGCCATGTAGAACTAAAAAAATCCAAGAAAAACGTATTTTCTCCCATTTTTTTCATATTAAATTATGTTTCATAGCTAAATATTTGATATTAAATGAAAGCCCTGTTTCCCCTGAATAAAATGATATATAATAAGGGTAGGTGCATTTAATATGAAAGAGGTGAATTACGGTTGGACAGACATGTAGCGCAAATGCCAGGTTTGTTTACATTTTGTTTCGTTCACAACGTGTATATTTGCCCGCCCTTATAAGTTAAAGCATAGAACTTAGTAGGGCTAACCATACAGATATCTTAGCCATAATTTTATATAGTGTAAGAGATCCTCTATTTAACATATATAAATAATTGAGAATACAATATAAAATAAGGATTGTCTTGAAAGCAAGATTGTCTTTTTGTATATTTATTATATAAAAATATAAAATCCATTATAGCAGAGTTTATAAAATTAAATTACATGCTTGCAAATATCATTAATAGGTTAACATACCCTTCTGAACATGTCATCATGTCAGCCTCTCTGTCATTTTAAGATGGAGCAGCGTCTGTCTCCAAGTCTCTCCTCTGTTTCTTAACATTTTAAAAGTACACCTATTTATACCTTAGGTGTCGTCATTTTAGGTTACTGTAGTTCAAATATGAAAAAGTAACACTTCTTTTACTTTATTCAATTTAGGACCTCCCTAAACTTGGCAAACATACAAGGCCATAACTAAAGGGTGTATACGTCATGGAAATTTTCCTGACTTAGTTCAAGATGGCATCTTAAAGTCTGAATAGGTTATCTGTTGTTTATACTAAGTCGTAAGTGTACAGTCGTGGGAGATTCCCAGATTTAGGGAAGTTCCATTAACTTGGGGTTACCACAGTATATTGTGTACTGCAAGAGTCGTAGCATAGCCTTGAAACTTGTTTATGCATTATTGTTATTGTAATTCGTCTGGGACAAAATG